TGTTATTTTATACAATTTAAAACCCATTTACTATGTACAATTTTGATGTGACGTCATCGCATTAGTGGTGGGGATGATTAGACAAATTTTGGTTAGCGTTTTACCATCTACATGATATTCCTAATATAAGTACAAAATTTCACAACAATCGGTCCAGTACTTTCGGAGATTATCTGTCTAATAAAAATCCGGGACGGCAGACAGACGGACAGACGGACAGACGGACAGACGGACAGACGGGCAGACGGACAGACGGACAGATGGACAGACGGACAGACGGACAGACAGACGGAAATGGGAGACCTATTTCTTCGTCTTCTAGGGGTCATGAAAGATCGAGAAAACGTAAAAGTAGAGAGTCGACCGAGGGACTCGATTACAATACTTCCTTTGCTTACGCTGGGGAAGTAAAAAGTAGAGGTATTATTATTAGGACTTATTAAAACTTATGATGACAGATGATAATGTATGATGACGAATTATTACAGATGATGAGGGATGATGACAGACTATTTATTAACTTATCTTAGTATCTTTTATTATGACAGATTATAGCAGATGATGATGATGATGATGATGGTGGTGATGACGCATGAGGACGCATGATGACGGACTATTTACTTATTATTATGATGGATGGTCATTGGATTATGAGGCAATCTGACGGATGACGAAATATTCACTTATTATTATCACGGGGGACTATGACAGAAGATTTTTTATGGCGAATGGTGAGAGCCAACGGAATATTTGCGAATAAGGATTATTTATTATGGCGGATGATGACGAATAATGGCAGATGATGACAGATGGTGAGATATTATGACGAATGATGACGGATTACGACGGATAGTGGAATATTTATTTACTTATTGGGAGTGACGAATGATAATGATGATGATGATGATGAAAGATGACGAAATATGTACTTATTTATTACTATTTATTACGACGGATTATTATGAATGATGATGACGTTGATGATAATGGCGACTTAGTATATGCTTATTATTATTTAATATGACAGATGATAATGGATTCTGACGGATTATGAATGATTTATTATGGTAGGTGACAGATGAGGTCATATTTACGTATAAGAAGTATTATTTATTATGACAGAGTAGGATGGAGGATAACAAATGATGAGAGATGATGACGGATGATAATAGATTATGACGTATGATGACAGATTATGACGTATGACGACGGATTATGATGGATAACGGAATATTTACTTATAAAGAGTAGAATTTAATACTAGTAATTATGATGGGTGATGAGTTGATGACAAATGATAACAGATTATGACGCGTGATGACGGATGATGACAGATTATGGTGGATAGCGGAATATTTAATTATAAGGAGTAGGTACTATTTATTACGATAATATTATATATGTATATAAAACTTAAAACAATATGATATAAGACGGATGTTGACGGATAATGACCACATATATGCTTTTTATTAATTATTATGGATAATGACAGATGGCGGAATATTTACTTATTGTTTATTTATTACGACGGATGATGACGGATTATGACGGACGATGACAAATGATCACGGGTGTTAACGGATGGTGATGAACGATAACGGATGATCACGTATGATGACGAATTATTACGGATCACAACGGATAATGAGGGAATATGTATTTATTATTATTTATTATGGATTATAACGAATGAAGAAATATTTACTTACTATTTATTTATTACAACGGATTATGACGGCTGATGACGAATGATGAAGGTTGATGACGTATGATGACGGATTATTACGGATGATGACGTATGATGATCGATTATGACGAATGACGGAATATTTACTTATTATTTCCCTACTTTAAGCGTAAAGTAATAAATGAAATTGATATTAAACAGTAAGAAGACAAAAAAGACAAAATGATATTGATCGACTTGAGTAAATTTTATACGTATATATACTGAATGACAAAAGTAAAAGAACACCAAGAAGGAGTCCTGATTTTGTAACGAAATTTAGACACAGGGTAAGGGTTGGCAGAATAAGAATTGACTAGACTTTCAGTGTTATCGGTCCAGTAATTTTAAGAAAAAAAGTTTTTTTTCTTGTACGCTGAAGAAAAACTTATCAAGGTATGTATGGCTCTTTTGATCATTTCCAGCACGTTATTGTGTTTGAGGTGTCTGTCACAAGGCCTAGAGCATGGTAGAAGGAGACATGGTATAGGCATCCGATGTACCAATTTAAAAATGGTCTGAGCATCCATTTGTGACGTTGGGTGGCATCAACGACCTTGTGACTCTTGTGAGCTTCGCTAGGGAAGTCTAGGGAATTTCAGCTTGAGTTGTCATTGCTCTGTCCAATACGTGAATTAGTTGTCGGATAACGAATTGTATTTTAAATTTTGCGCTAATTTCACCCCACTTGACGTCACACCCGATGCGTATGCCTATACCATGTCTCCTTCTACCATGGCCTAGAGTGAGTCGCCGTCTAATGTTTAGCCAACCTGCGACTCTGAGAGAGGTCGAATAGTCGGGTTTCGGGAAGAGGAATTATCGTTTCACCAAATTGTAGCCCGATTAAATGTAAACATATATTTTCTCTTTTTTTTCTTAATATACGTAGATATCGTTTCACAACAAGGCGGAGCCTAATATATCCTTATACAAATTTTCCATTTTAAACATGTTTTAGGTTTCATGTTGTGAAAACAAGTCTATACCTATTAAATGTAAAGGCAAACTGTAAGCCCGCCCACCCGCCCAATCTCAATTGTAATGATTTTTTCAATTCGCCGCGAATCAAGAGGGCGGAGCTTAACTGCAAATACTTATTTCATTACAAGAAATTAAGAACACGTTTTTGAGTACCGTGTTGTTCAAAGAATGCCATGTATATTAAGAAAAAAATAAAGCCAAAGATTAGGTCCCACCCATACACGCCCCAATCTCATCTCTCAATTGTGATGAATTTTTCATTCGTTGTCAGATCGATGGGCGGGGCTTAATTGCAAGATCCGTGTTTGTCTGCAAGAATTAGCCATTTTAAACATAAAATTTCCATTCCATGAAAATCAAAAGTTATTCTATGCCGCATTAAAACGAATGCGAAAACCTAAAACTATCACGTTTGTAACATCGAAATCACAAAAAATGTCAACGCGTTTCGGCAACCAAGATCAATGAAGATTTTCAAACTTACTACCAAAAGAAGAAAATTTAACGAAAAATGCCAACAGCATTTTGAAGAATTACAAGAAGAAAACTGTACAAATACAAGAGGGGAAACTAGGAAACATGAAAGAAAAAAATTATAGGGACGCAAATAGATGGAGTAATGTTTATAAAATTAAACTTGGGAAAACATCTGGAATAGAGGAAATTATTATGGAAATGGAGAAGAAAAAGAAGAACCTTAACAAATAATAAACCTAGTAAAAGGAGTGAAAATGGTCTCAAAATAAAAAACAAAGTAAAAATATGAGTTTGAAAAAAATTGAATTAAGAAATATCACTTAATTTTGTTATGCAGAAGATTTAGAAGATAACATAAAAACAAAATATCGTCGATGAAAAAATAAAAAAGATAAATAATAAGAAAATCAGAATTGATAAATCAAAAACAGAGATAAATAAGAATCATGATGTCAAGTTAAGGGGAGAAACTATGGAAAAAGGGCAACATTTAAGTGCTTGGTAAGTATGTATAGTGAACAGTCTTTTTAAGAAAATGAAGGAAAAACCAGACGTGTCAAAATTAGGAATAAAATATTTAGAATGGTTAAAAATTACTTATCAAAACGAGCTATATTTGTTGATACATATCCAAAGAATGGAAGACAATAGTTTGGTAAAACAGATATATGAAGCAAACGGACTGGAAGAAATAAGAATAGGAACGTCACGAAAAATTTGAAGAGGAAAATTAAGAAAAGCTGCCGAAAAAAGAGTAATCAGTTAGATGAACATCTCCCGACAAGCGCAGAGGATATGGATGAACAGAAGAAAATACGGAAGAAAAAACTAGGACTAAATAAGTAAATACTGATGTACTTTGCGATTTAGTAGATGGCCGCAAAGAAAAAAGTGATACTTAAGGATCTTGCGACCCTCCATGGTGTTATTATTTTACAACTTTTCGTTGAAACAAAAAATTGACCATGAAATGCAGTATATTTCTCTGGCGAAAATGTCAGAAGCGAGTTCGAGATCTCTTACGTAATTTCAGAGTATCAACTCTTCAGTGCCCCCCGTACATGAACATAAAGAATCGATCCTGGTCGATTTTTTGCAATTCCGCCTCCAATACCGCACACGAAAAGGGAACGAGTCCGTTGCCATTCAATCGGATTAATGGCCCTTCGGACTGAATGCGCCGTTGCTGAAATAGAATTGCCACAAAAATTGCTTATTCATGTAATTTACAGCCACAGATGAACCGCGGACCGGCAAAAAATCACTCGAATTCGCAACTTTTACCGCCAGTGGCACTACAAAACTGTTATCCTCTTTTAATTGTTAGCCGGTGCTGTTTTCGTCCTTTTTCTACGAGCACGAGCGCTTGCTTCGCCTCGAACTAAATGCAACCGAAGTAGTTGCAAAATTGGAGTTTCACCGTAAATAAAACATACACGAAAATCCCTTAAACTCGAACTTCTGTCGCATTGCATTAAAATAAATCTATGCTTATGCAAGCAAAACTTATTCGTATTCCGCGGTTTGTGGCGTATTTGAATTTTTATTTTGCGTTTTTGCTTAATCTTCGAGGTTTTACAAGGGGAGTAATATGTATTCAGATTGCTGCGTGGATATTTTCTGAAGCTGTGTAATATTTTTCAGGAATATCGACTGAATGTGCGACGATATATATATATATACGTTTAGGAAAGGGGAAGTCAATTTTTTTAACCGTACACGATTAACATGAGCGATGTAGGCAACCAGACATATACTACGTTTTATTGTTTTTTTGTTTCATACATTACTATTGTAAATGGCACAAAATTTAGTCAGTTGGTGAAAAATTTTCTACATTACTGTGAATGGACTTTGACAATGCAAACGCTGTTTCTTCCGGTGTGTTTTTGGCGGACTTCAAAATGTTGGCGATTGTGTCGTCACTGGCTCCAGCCGCCTGTAGTCTACTTTTGACAACTTCGCTGTTGATGTCCCCTGACTCCGAAATGAATCCAGTCTTTTTATAGAGGCAAAGAGCCTGTTTTCTAAGTTTAGGAGAATTTTCATATTGTTGAGTAGTGCGGAGTTTAGTTACTTCTTCTACGGTTAGGCCAGATTCCGTTCTACATTTTTTGCTGATTGGCTCGAGTTTAGTAATTTGTTCGGGAGATAATGCAGCCTGAATTTTTGAAAAGGTGTCAAATGAGACCATGTTGAGGACGAAATCTTACCAAGACACAAGTGGAAAGAAGAAGAATCACGAACAGTAGCTTCATGTTGACGTTAATCGGAAAATATACACACTGTCGAGTTAAGAGTAAGAAAAGGCCTTAAATAATATATATTATCTGTTGGGAGCAAAGTTTATGTTTTCTACAATCCGTAATTTATTTATTTATTTTTAATTAAGAACTAATTTGTTGTCACGGGCTGTACTTTATTTTCAGAATTATCGCGTTACTATTTTTAATAGCAACGTGATAATACTGAAGGCTGTAATATTCACAAATTATAATCAGCAACAAAAAGAGGGAGCAAAGTACTTTAATCTTCGAATAATATGTATTCAGATTGCTGCGTGAATATTTTCTGATCCTCTGTAATATTTTTTAGGAATCTCCACAGAATGTGTGACGATACTGACGGTAGTTAATCGTGATTCGTTTAGGACAATATAGATAACCAAACATACACCACGTTTTATTGTTATTTCTTTCATACAGTAGAAAAATAACAATGATTTTATTACCATTACGGATGGCACAATTTACTCAACAGGAGAAAAATTTGGTACATCTTTGAAAATGCACTTAGCAAGTTCAAACGCTGTTTCTTCCGGTGTATCCTTTTTCGCACAGTTCAAAATTTTGGCGATTGTCTCGGCACTGGCTCCAGCCGCCTGTAATCTACTTTTAACAACTTCGCTCTCCATGTCCCCTGACTCCGAAATCAATCCAGTCTTTTTATACAGGCAAAGAGCGTGTTTTCTAAGTTTAGGAGAATCTTCAAATTGTGGAGTATTGCGGAATTTAGTTATTTCTTCTGCAGTCATGCCAGATTCGGTTCTACATTCCTTGCTGATTGGCTCGAGTTTAGCAATTTGTTCGGGAGATAATGCAGCCTGAATTTTTGAAAAGGTGTCAAATGGGACCATGTTGAGGAACAAATCTTACCAAGACACAGGTGGAAAGAAGAAGAATGACGAACGGTAGCTTCATGTTGACGTTAATAGGTAAAAGTAGACACTAGCGGGTTTAGAGGAAGGAAAGATCTTAAATAATATATGTAAACTGTTGAGATCAAGGTTTAGTTATTTACACTCTGTAATTTATTTTTTAAGAACTGATACTGCTACTTTATTTTCAGGATTATCGCATTGCTAATTTTTATTAGCAACGTGATAATCCGGAAGGTCGAAAAAGAGTAAAATGTATAAATTGTAATGACCAAGATAAAATCGAAAATAAAAATCTGGGTCAAATGTTTGATTTAAAATAAAATCTCGAAAATATTTACTCCGCTGTGAATTTAATAATCAGCCAAACCGAACCCTTTTTTAACAAATGCGTACATGACCTGAGTAAGATAATACTTTTAAAGAGCGGCATGAAGTTCTAATAACAGAGTAGAACAATTTTAGAAAAAATCTTGTTACAAGCATTCTGAAAGGTTTTTATGTGCTGAATAACTATCTAATAAGACATTATACCCAGGTCGTCAAAAAATTTTGTTTTGGAGATTGTTCATAGATAGTTCCAGTTAAAGTTCATATTGCACATAAACTGTAGATTCTTTTGTATGTTTGTGTTTCACTCATAATTAAGTTGTTTCATAATTATATAATTAATTAATTCTTATTTTGTTAATTGCATTATACTATGTAAGTATTATACAATGTGTTGTCCTATAAATGGTTTATACTGTTTGGTAATAAATATTATTACTATTAATATTATTATTATTATTATTATTAAAAAGGTGTACTATTGCATAATGGGAATAAATATCTAGTACTGTCGACTACATACTCCATACAAACTGCAGAAACATATGAGAATATTCAACACTTGTTAAACTGTATTAACGATAAAAAAATTGAGTGCAATTTGATAGGCGATTTAAAAATTGTAGCTTTAGTAACTGGCTTCCAATCTGGATATACCAATCATATGTGCTTCTTATACAAGTGAAATACAAGAGAGAAAGCATTTCAACATCTGAAAACAATATTTCCTAAGCTTTCTGATAAACTAAAATATTACAATGAATTTCAGTTTTCATATTATCTACGTTTTCTATATTTAGGAATTTTCATTGGATTTGAAATTCGAATGAAGTGTCAAATCTTCCACGCCTATTTCAACGATACGGAAAAATTGACTTGGGAATCAATTAGCTTAGTTATCAGTGAATTTTTAGGAAACAAACGTTCCACAAATTATGTCTCATTTAAATTTCTTTGCTGATAATCGAGAAATCAAGAAAGTCGAAGAAAGATTTAAGAGAAAGACCCAAGTATTCATTCTTTCCGAATACATGAGGCTTTTATAAAGAGTTAGATCCTTCTACATATTCTAGACCGCTTAAATATTCGTAGACGTAATTAAATATCTGTCGACAGAAATCTGTGGAACATTTTTTTAGTGCTTCTTGCGCGTTTTTCTATGTAAAATAAGAATTCACTTCATTTTTTCAAATTGTTCACCGGACGAACATAAAAATTTTAATTTTTTTTTTCGACGACATGGGTATATTATCTCTTTCAAGAGTTGTTCAGCACAAAATTACCTTTCCGACCGTGTTTACAAAATATATGTAACAAAAACATTGTTCTACTGTGTAATTTTTATCTCTAAAAGGAGAACACTTTTATCTGAACTTTTTTTTACTTTTAGCACCCATACTTCGAGACCAATTGCTGATTTTATTTTGTACGTACCTTTCAATAACACGCTGTAGAGTAAGTACAAAATAATTTCACATCAATGATAAACAACTTTATACATTTTAACAATATTATCCAATTTAACAATATTCGTAATAGTTATGAGCACGTTTTAGACTTAGTACTGTCGAATTTGTCTTGCAAGGTTACCAGGTATATGGACCAACTTGTCGAAGAAGATGTACATCATCCTACACTTTGTATCGATTTCATTATTGCAGTCATTGTTACTAAACAATTTATAATGAATGATAAGAAGAAATGCTATAATTTTAAAAAAGCCAATTATCCACTGATGTATGAAATGTTATCTACTACGGATTGGTCAATGTTGGCATCTGTTAGAGATATCCACATAGCCTGTAATTTATTCTATGATAAATTAAATGAAATAATAAATAGAACTGTTCCTACATTCTATATTAAATCAAATCAGAGAATTTATCCACCCTGGTTCAATAAGGAAATTATTCAGAATTTACGTCTCAAATCTATCTTACACTCCAAATTAAAAAAACTCAGAACTGATTACAACTATAACTTATTTAAACAACAGCGCTCCCATTGTAAAAATATTATCAATAATTCGTATAGAGAATATATCTCAAATATCGAAATTAACATTAACAAAGATCCTAGTAAATTTTAGGCTTTCGTGGAGTCTAAAACGGCATCATCTAGAATTCCGGGTATAATGAACTACAAAAACATTGAACTCTCTAACCCTCGCCTCACTGTAAATGCTTTTAGTGACTATTTTCAAAGTGTAGGTATATAATGTAGGTATATATATAACAATATATAGCAACCACAGCAAATTCAAGAAATATCTGACTTGAGAATTTTGTTTTTAAATATACAGTCCATCAAGAATAAAATTAATCTGCTAGAAGCTATTTTACATAATCATAATTTTAGTGTCTTGTGCATAAGTGAGCACTGGTTAACCAGTGATGAAACAGAATGCGTTACAATTAATAATTTTAGAGTGGCTGATTCTTTTTCGAGAGTGATTCACACTCATGGTGGCGTGGTTCAATGCATAGATCCTTCCCTACAGTATGAAGACCTACCACAACTAAGTAATATATCCAAAGAAATTCATTGTGAGTTAATCGGCATATATGTACATAAATTTGATGTATTGTTAATATCATTGTATAGATCACCCAGTGGTGATTATGATGTTTTTATTGAAACCTTAGTTAAGTTACTTAATATCATTAATTATAAACAGAAACGTATACTAATTGGGGGTGACTTTAACCTTCATTTTAATGTAAACGACGTAAAGGCGCAAATGTTTTGTGATTTCTTACTTAGTTATGGTTTCCAACCTTTAGTGACTTTTCCAACAAGGGGAAGTTCCTGTATTGACAATGTCTTTTGCAATTTCTCAAGTGTAAACATAAAGGTGAGTGCTTTTGAGACCCATCTGTCAGATCATAGAGGAGTAGCTATTAATATTTCTCAAATTTTTAAAACACAAGAAAAACAATTCAAACTTACAAGACCCCTCACGAATCATGGTAAATTAATTTTTTTCAATCTATTAAGTGCAGTTAATTGGGACTTTGTAAAATCTGATATTGATATTAACAATAAGTTTAACATGTTCATTAATACCATCTTATATAACTATTACATTGCATTTCCTGTAAAAATTATAGTCTGCTATAATAGAAGCAAAATTCCAAGTAACAATTGGTTTTCAACAGAACTTCAAAAGATGAGAGAAACATTAAAATTGCTTTCCGAAGCTTATAAATTGCATGGAACTTTAGAACTCAAATCGTTGTTACTGGAATTTAGACGTAAATACAATATAGCTATTAAAAATGCAAAAAAACAAGCTAATGATAAATATATTAGAATAAACAAAAGTAGTCCTAAAGCAATGTGGAAATTGATCAAATGTAAAAATCCCAAAAACAACCTAAACAAACTTTTGCCATAACACCTGATGAATTTAATGCCTTTTTTGCAAATATTGCTTCAGACATCATTTCAACCTTGGCTCCCCCAAAATTTGATCCCATTAGCTTAATGACAAATATACCTAATATAAATACCTCATTTAATTTTAAACAAGTAACTTATATCCAAGTACGAGATGCTTTTGTTAGCTTACGAAATAATAATTCGAAAGACATTTATGGATTTACAGTACCACTTATTAAATCCCTTAAAGACATATTAATACAACCGCTTACCAATCTGATAAACTCCTGCATTGAAGTGAATTTATTCCCTGATTGTCTCAAACGAGCCAGTGTGGTTCCTATATACAAAAAAGGCGATCCTGATGATATTGGCAATTACAGGCCAATATCATTATTACCAATTTTTTCGAAAATATTTGAGAAACTAATGCTACAGCAGATTACGGAATATCTAAACAAATATAACCTTCTGACATTACAACAATTTGGTTTCCGTAAAGGCCTCTCTACTTCTACAGCCATCAGTGCACTAGTCGATAAGATAATCCAGAGCTTTGAACGTAAAGAATATTACTCAACCCATCTCTTAGATCTCAGTAAGGCTTTTGATTGCGTAAGTCACGATATTCTGTTAAGAAAATTATATTACTATAATTTCCAACCACCGAGTATAAATATGATTATGAGTTACCTTAAAAATAGAACGCAAAGCGTATCCATTAAAAACAGATCATCTTGTACTTATTCTGTTAATTATGGGGTTCCTCAAGGGTCCATTTTGGGACCAATATTGTTCTTGCTATATACAAATGATCTTCCAGACTACCTTAAAGAAGTTGATGTAACTCTCTACGCTGATGATACTTGCATTGGTACAGCAGGAGTAACTGCCGACCTTGCCTTCAACGCCAATCAAAATTCTATGAAGAAAGCCGCAGAGTGGTTCAGTGCAAATAGACTCCATTTAAATAAAACAAAATGTGTCTCAATGCTCTTCACATTAAGACCCTGCGAATGTTCCATCGGATGTGCGGAATATACAAAGTACCTACTTAGGAGTCATTATCGATAAGGAACTTACTTGGTGTTAGCACGGTAATTATATGTCAAATAAAATTTCAAAAAATACCTTCCTTTTAAGAAATTTGGCTAATAATCTTTCTTTAAACTGTTTATGTATGGCCTATTATGCTCTGATACACTCTCTTCTCAATTATTCCATTTTAGTCTGGGGGCACTCATCATCTTTATCACGACTCTTTAAACTACAACGAAGATCAATCAGAATAATAGCTAATATAGGATACAGAGAAGATTGTAGAGCGTACTTCAAGTCACTAAAAATACTTACACTTCCTTCGCTTTATATTTATCGATGTTTGGAATTTATTACTCGGCATACAGAATTATATCCC